TTTTTTTTCTTCTTCTTGATTCTCACTTCGTATTCCTCCTCCTTTTTTTTTTTGTTTTTTTTACTTTCTCAATCCACTTTTTTTCTCTATTACGGACTCCGAGCACAAAAGCTTTTTGTGACGAGTCCCACGGTCGGCGCCAGTGATGGAAACCGCTTTTTCGGGGCATCGACCCGATGAAATCGGTACCGGGTCGGCACCGCACCGAATAGCGAAATCTGGAAATTAAGTAAATAAATAAAGCGGAGAGAAATTATTTATACGTGGAAACCCAAATCGGGAGAAAACCACGGGCCTTTTTAGGCGGTGCCATGCCAAAGGGGGAGGAACTTTTATTAATCTCGGGGGAGTTTACATATACATCATTGTATGAACTTGGAGTCATTAATGGAGCTCCAAGCTAAAAGAAGAAAAAGAATGAAGAATATAGTAGTAGGAACTTGTATGAATCTAGCCTTGGCCTCCCCCCTTCCGTCTTGCATAGCCTTGTATTTAAAGGGGAGTACATGCATGCATCCCCAACAATGCCATGAGGTGGCCATGTCACCTCCATGTGCACATGTTTTGTAAATGGGCTCCACGGAATATTTTTATATCACCTCAAATATATTCTTCTGTCCATATATCTCTGGTTCTGTCTTGAATTATTTATTTGATTTATATCTTGGGCCAGATAAAATTGGGCTTTCTTGTACTGTTCAAATAATATTGGATTAGAAAAAATCCCTAATCCATCAGTCTTAGTTAGTTAAATATGTCACGATCAATTCTTAGATTTTTTGTAAGTAATACCCTCTCCGTCCCTAAATATATCTTACATTTCTATTGTCGAGGTAAAATATTAAGTTTTTTCAATTGACTTTATTTACATATTGGTATAGAAATAAAAAATAAAATTTACATATCAAAAAATTACATAAAAAGTTCATCAAAATAAGAGGTGTCAAAATTATTTTTTTATCAAATAACCAAAGAAAACGTAGAAATAAACAAAAATTCCCGTGACTGTTCAAAAAGTAAATGTGAGATATATTTAGGGAAGGAGAGAGTATTTGTTAATAAAAAAGTAGTGAAATATCTACACTATTTAACTAGATATGTTAATTATTTTTAGATACTATGAATTTACTCCATCGTCCCAATTTAAATTGTCTGTTTCGATTTACGACGTTTGACTGAAATTATTTTCAAATCGTTTTATAATAAAATTGGTATAGATTAAAAAAATAAAAATTTTATATTAAAAAGCTACGTTAAAAGATTTGCAAAATTAGGGGTAATATTATTATATTCTTTTATAAAATGACTAATGAATATAGGAAAAGAAAGTGAATAATGTTTGATTATATAAATAGCAAACACGTAATTTAATTTGGAACGAAATGAGTACTTTTTATTGTTTAGTAAATAATCCCTAATAAAATTTCTAAAACAAAATTTCAATTGTTTTGTTTGATGTTTTATTGAATCAACATAATTAGAACTCTTTTCCGTTCACAAGTAAAAGAGAGTACAGGATTCGAAAAACGGGTCAGATCGGTTGAGACGGGGAGGCCTGCTTTGGTGAAGTCCAATTAGTTTACACTCTTGGGCCGGGGTGGTCCGAAAAGTCAATTTGATCTGCACGGACGAAAAAAGCGTGAAAAGTTCAGTCCTACGTGGCCAACTACAGGGACACGTGAGATCGGTTCCTCGCTGATCCGACGGTCAGTATTGATTCTCCACGTTCAGCCGTCAGATGGACACATAATCCCCTTAACTAGAAGATTTCCAGATACAGAGAGAGAAGGCGTGTGGGAGGTACGCGCGTGTGACGGTTTGGAGAAGGCCAACGAAAGTTTCGGCTTTTCCCGTCTGTCTGTTACAGCATTTCTTCACCTTTCTTCCTGAGACGAGAGAGAGAGAGAATAGAGATTTAGAGAGAGAGAGAGAGAGGAAGAAGAAGAAGTTAGCTCAGAGTCTGTTACTCACTCTGTTAAAAATTCTTCCTTTTCTTCTTTCACATTCATATTTCTTCTCGAAGATCACAACCAGTTTCAAGCTCAATTCGTCTTCCGAAGGCTCAATTTTCGTGTACCAGGTGGGTGTTCATACGACAATTGAATTCGAACAGGAAGATGAAGGAAATCGGCTTCTGTTGCCGATTTTTCCTTTTTTTGCTCATTTTCTGGGGTTTACACTGTTTTTGTTGTTTTAATTTTGAGATATTTCATGGATGATTCATGAATTATCTGCAGAATCCTGATTCGGATTAATTGTTAGTGAAGATCATTCTAATTTTGTCAAATGCTCGGTGCATTTTGGTTATTTTTTCCCGTTTCGTCTGCTTTTAGACTTCGCAGTCTATTTGTTGGGCGAAGCATCTGAATCTCCAGACGTAAGGGACTTAAATTGATACCTCACTTTTGTTTCTTCAAGCTGTTCTTAAATTTGTTCTTTTTTTTTCTTTCTATAATTGGCTGTGAAATTATTTAACTTTAACAAGATAACGATAAATTAAATGATTAAAGAGAGATCTGGGGGTGGGATGTGTTTGTGTTTGGGCTGGGATCCGATTTGGGCCATGAAATTTTATTTAATTTCTGACAATTTCTGTCTCTTTTCTTCATCTTGCTGTTGTGTATTCTGGGCAGTATGGTCCTTTCCTGCCATGAGTTCTTACATTATCTTCTTTGTTCCCATACATTATCCTAATTTTGGATAAATTGCAGGGAAGAAAATGGAAGGGAAAAATACCCAAATGTGTTATTGGCAAGTTGAGTTTGAGTAAGCACAATGGTTGGTGTAGACCATATTAAGAGATCTATGCTTCCCAAAAAGGTACTATGAGTAAATTTATATTATCTGTTGATATGAGTATTTATATACTCCATGTGTAAAAAAAACACAATTATTATTCACAGGTCATAAAATAATGGATTAAATAATAGTCATGTCATTTTGTAAAACTTTTGGTGTACTTTTTAAGCGTATGCTTTTATTTTCTTAACCATTTTAACAATGAATTGAATTGAAAATTAATTCAGTTAACCATCTAAACCGAACTGTGTCTTTTATTTGGGATGGAGGGAGTATTTTGTTGAAGATTTGGACTGACTTACTCTAGTTGCTACTTGAACTTCTGCAGATTTGTGATGGCTGGAAAATGGCATCTCATGCCCATGTTCCTCGAAAATTGAGATCAGGTTAGACATTTCAGATTTTGTAATCACTGGAATATAGTAATTGTTCATCTTTGCTGGCTTGGATTTTTTTCAAAGCTTAAAATAGGTTCTTCTCCTGCCCACATTTTTAAAATGGAAATTTCCTGATATGCAAAGACTTGTGTCACTAATCATTTCTCCCCCTGACTTATGGCTGACCATTAATGCCAAATTATGTTTTTAAGGTGATCATAAACTTTGTTATGAATAGACAATCTATTTCCCATTAATTTCTTTCGTTATTATACATTTATACATGATTGGAGAAACTCAAATAAATGAGGGGGCAACTTGGTCATTTTCTCGTGTTTTACTCCATAGTTTATTGAACTTCTAAATAGAGTGTAGTTCTTTTAACATAACTCATGAGTGTCATAAGATACTTAGCCCATCCGAGGACCATTCATTCCACCCCAAAATGAAGGGCCCTCATTGACAAAAAAACCTTCAACTCTTTTTTTAACGAATAAACCTCACTCTTCTAAATATAGAGTTACATTAGTTATTAAAAGAACTTTCTTTTTTAAGTGTAAAGTTATTTGAGGAGGGAGCATCAATATGTGATTATTCCTTTTCAAGCTTGACACTAATTTTCTTGTAAATGCAGCCATTAAGAAGAGAAATGGAGCACCGATTTCATTGCCTTTTTCGGGAAACGGGAAGCATAAGAAAAGCGAAAAGAAATCAGAACTGAATTTGGTACATACTGAGTTTCAAAATACTACCGTCTGTATCCCTATATATGTTTCTTACCCCATTAAAGGATACCTATTTTAAATTCGAATTAAGGGAGAAGAAAAACATAAGGATGTTATGGGGTCAAAAATCACCGAAGATGAGCAAGAAGTTGCAGAAGCTTTGTTTGCTCTTGCAGGCCTTGCAGCTAGTTCTATACGTTCATTAAACGGTTTGTTTTTTCATTCATGCTCCTATCGAATATTGTCTATTTGCTACAGAGTTTTTTTTAATGGAAAAAGACTGAATTTTGCTGCATTCTGGTAACAATAGTTATGGAGAATGAAAAGGAAACTGTGGCAATGTGCCTTGAATTTGCAGCTGAAGGCTCCCAACCATCTTCAAATGCTGAAGAAACTGTTAAATTTCAAACACCATCACACGATCAACTCCACAGGTTTATACCAACTGACTTGAATGTGGAAAGCAATGGTGTTGCTGGTGATGGGTCTAAAATGTATGGAAACAACACTTTCATTGCCCAAAGAACTCAAACCCCAAAATCCATTTCGGAAAAGGTATCTGTTTGTATAGATAAAGAGTAATATATTTGGATCAGTTTTATTTAACCAAGAACAAAAATGAAGAATGACTAATAATTTTATTATTGTTTGAAGGAGTCGTGGAAGCGAAGCTGCACACATGTTTATGTAAGCCGACTGATTAAAGTCTTACAGAGATCTAATGGGACTTTGGCTGATGAATTGCTGTATCAATCAACACCACAAACTAGTGTATCCAAACAGGTCAGTAATATCAATCAGTTCATATTCAACATGTCCACTGCTCAAAATTAGAATATGGTCTCATGTCCTTTTCTGCATACATGTATATGTATATATACAAGTAAAGTGTAGTTATACTGAAACCGGTAAAACTGTTGAGAAAAAAAACTACATTTTTGTCACCTGACAACATTTGAGAACCAAACACTGCCTTTCCTGCGACCACCAATAGTCGTTATTCATCAGCTAGGAGAGAACCTTGGTGCTCTTATTATTATTGAGATCAATTGGAACTGTTCTGATAAATATACAGATTCTATTGCCGCCACCTTACTCTGTGGTGCCGCCAAGACAGGGAGAATTACAAAATTGGCCAACTCACTTCCTACCAGCGCCATACAAAGTGGTGGGTGCTTCCCATATACTGGAATGGGAAAATGTAGGGCAGAATGGACATTCCCCTCTCCAGTCTGCCCCCAAGTTTCTGAGCCCCCATTATTCCTTGCACCCACTGCAACAGCTGCACTCAGCGATGATGGCTAGAGGGCAGTATCGTCATTTACCTGACGCTGGCTTTGACGGAAATGGACTGCCGGGAGGACTGTACCACAGTAGCATCCCAACTTTGCAAATGCTCTGCAATGGTCACCATTGATTTATTTTATTTTATTTTTTCCTCTTCTTTTTGTACATCCATATCCATGAATGAATACCCATTCATATATGTATGAGGACTGTTACTATGTGCCAATTGAGAAATATATATGCATATATAGGGTCGGCAAGGTTCCTTTTACCCGTGAACCCAAGGTCATATTATATGACTGGGGCACCTACGTTATTGCTTCGTCGGCAAAAATGATTATATGTGAAGAGGGTGAGGGTGTTGGGGTTCAGGGGTATTAATCATCAAATTTACCAACAGAGCACTGCAGATGCCTGCGTCATTATATGACCTGGATTTTCAAAGTAAAAAAAAACCATCGGCATACATATATTTTGAAAATTCTTTTGGCATTATTAGTTGTTACCATGTTGTAGTGTCAGTGTCGGTCAAATAGACATTTGGGTTTTGGAGTACAGCAATACTGTACGGAGTATGAATATTTTGTTTCATTTGATCAACATTGATTTTTTAGACATTAAAGAAAAAGAATTAAAACAGGAGTACTTTAAGAAAAAAATGTTAAGTACCCCCTAAGTTGATCAAAGTACCATTTTTAAGTGTTGCAAAATGCAATAGGAGTACTGTCATTGTTTCACCCTGCATGGCCATTAGTACCATACATATTCTTGTCAATAATTGGTGCCAACAAAGACTATCAATACCCTCCCTAATACCACTTAAGATCATTATCATCGTAAATTACTTGATTAGATTTTAGTTTCAACATTTGAAATTTTATAATTTCAAATACCAAATGTTGTTTGGAAAGTCATAGAATTTCAATTCTAAAATTTAAATTTTGAAGTCAGCAAACAAGCTAACGGAAATGAGTTAACATATATGAAATTGTTATTACATAAGGGAAAATTGCTCTTTAATTACAAGTTTTAAATTAAAGAAAATTGAATTTGAATTTGGAAATGATATAGGGAGGGGTGTCGATTTGTGGTTGAGTTAGTTTTGAATTAGAAGAATTTGGCTGAGTTTACTATACAAGTAAACAATAAAAAATACTATATCCATCGCGACTCGTCCTCAAATTAAATTCACAATTTTTTCATTATTCACAAAATAAAGATCATATTTTTTTTTTCATTTTCAACAAAGGAATTTGTGGGTGATTGATAACATTTCTCTAATTTCCATATAAATTTCTGCCAAAATGTTTTTAAAAAACATTTTTATATAATTTGTGAAATAAAATGCGAGTTTAATTTGAAGATGGAGTGGGTAGAAACTAGAAATACAAAAGTAGATTTCCTTGAGGTGGTGCTTTGGTAGCTCACGGAAAATCACTGGGTCCATTGTTCGTTACTGGGCCAGTTACCATATTGGGCTTGCGATCCATAAAAGCAATAAATGGAGAGGAGAGAGAATGAGCGCAGGCGGGGCCTTTCTGATTCGAACTCACCACCGCTCTCCTCGCCGTTGCTCCACCGCTCCTCCACCATTCCCGCCGCGTTCAAGCCGCAATACTTCATCTCCGCCGCCTTGATTCCTTCTTCTCCTCCCTATCCGCAATCCTGTTCCTCCGTAACTATAGCTCCCACCCACTGGTTTCGAATCGGAAGCTGCTTCTCTTCGGTTACTCAGTGCGGTGCAGTTACAATGGCGGCCTCCGGAGAAGACCTCGACCTCGACCTCAATCTGACGCTCTCTCGAGTTCACCTGGATCCTTCAGCTCCTCGCATCGTCTCTCCGCCGTGTAGGCCACACAGCTTAGCTCCCGCCCCTCATCCCACCTCCCTCTCCGATTCCCGAACGGATTCTCCGACTGTACCGTCCTTTCAGCCGCATTCAGCTTCTCTCGGAGTTTTTGTTCCGGTAAGTATTTGAATCATATGTGTTCTTACTTTTCTCTTTTTTTTTTTCGTTTTCCTTTTTGCAAATTACTAATTTCATACGTTGCCAGCAGAATTTCTAAATTAAGTTTCTAGGTTAAATGGAAGTTTTCAATTTGGCGATTCTATCTTTTCTTTTTATTCATTTAGGCTTAATTCTATTTATAGTGTGTTTTTCCCAGATTTAATACAATTTCCAGATATAGGATCACAACGTGTAAGTGAAAATCAATAATAGATCGCAATCACAATACCGAAAATGCACATGACTTTCAGATATGTGGTTTCAGGGCCTATAGAATAGACACATTTATATTATGATTTCTTTGTATTGATTTCTTTTGCTTTGATTCTTTATTCTGTTTGGAACTTGTTATATAGAGTGTTAGGTTAGAAAAAATGCTCCATACTCCGTACTATTACCTTGTACGGAGTATATGCTATTGCTTGAACTCTCCAATTTAGGGTAGCTTATAATCTATTTTGTTTTCGAAAGAGAAAAAATGTGACTGGTAGCTCTGAAGCTGAGAATGTTAACAATATGATGTTACAAGTTCAAACTGCGGAGACCACCAACACGTCTCTGCTCCAACAAACTGTTAGTGCTTCAGAATGGCGTAGAGCAAGGTCTGTAAAGCGTCCCAAGTTTGGAACTAAAGGAATAAACTCAGGTGAGATAAAATTGGGCGGTTCTTTTTTCTGCTATGGTGCTGTATTGTTGTTGAAGATACTGACTTCGTTGATTTATCATTTTCTTGACAACTAGATCCTTACGATAGCCCTAATGTAGCTGGAACCTGCCGTTATGACAATTCCTTGGGTAAGTCAATGACTCAATCATAGTACTCCATATTTGCTAGATGTCTCGAAGATGTAGATCATCATCATCATTTTATATGCACCTTAGTCCCAACTAGTGTTGGGGTAAATTAGTTCCAAATAATTGATTAGTTAACAGTATAAACTTGTTAATAGTCATGCTCCATTACAAGATTGATATTGTAAATACAAAAATCAACTTGCAAATCGCTGAAAGACTTATTATTTATTTCATTTTTTTACTAAAAAAATCTGCCACTGCCAGTCAAAGATTTAACGATGTGATTGTTATGATATTTTGCAGGCTTGTTGGCCAAAAAATTTATTCATTTGATCCAGGGAGCTGAAGATGGCACACTTGATCTGAACCGCTGTGCTGATATTTTGGAGGTGCATTTTATAAGTAAACGCTAAGAAACAAAGCAAACAATTTGAATGGGGGGGGGGTTGAATTATAATTCTCAGTTGAAACTTTTTGTTTCAAACTCTTTATTCTCGGGCTCCCTTCCTTTCTTATTGGTACACTTTTTATACAGGTTCAAAAGAGGAGAATTTATGATATTACAAATGTGCTTGAAGGAGTGGGACTAATAGAGAAGACTCAAAAGAATCACATGCGCTGGAAGTATTATAACTGAGTTTGTGCATATTTATTACATTGATGTACACTTCTGTGTAATGACCATTGTACTGACTGATCTTTAATTCTTAACAGAGGATTTGAGACAAGTGAATCAAGAGAGTTGCATGAAAAAATCTTTAATTTAAAGGTGTCGTCTTCAAAATTATAATATCTCTTTGCATATAATTTGTTGATACTCTTTATTTTATTAAATTATGCTCTAATGGTTCTGTCATGGAAAAATAGCTTAAAAGAGGATTGTCTCCTTTGAGGCAGAGAGTTGGATTACCACTGTTCTGTCTTTTCCGCTTCTTCAATAATTTATATGTATAAAATTTTTTAGTTAAACGAAAACATAAGTGGTTATGATTCCTTTGTGCTCACAGCTTTTAGCTTGATGATAGGTTGAAGTTGAACATTTGTGTACTGAAGACCAACGGCTGGATCATTGCATAAGGTTTGCTTGCCATTAGAGTATAGAAAAGAAAGTTATAGAAGTTTTAGTTATAGAATGTTGCGCTAAGAGCTTGTTTTCTTCAGGGAAAAGCTAGAGCAATTAAGGGTCCTTGAATCTGATCTTAATTGCCAAAAGTATGCTCTTTGTCCCGTTTTCTTGTCTACCATTCTACCATGTATTAATCATAGAACTAAATTCAGACATACTTTTTGAAATTTGAATGCTTTTCAGGAATCTCTTTTTGACACAGGATGATATCATGAATCTACCATGCTTCAGGGTTGGTACATCTCCCCATGTAAATATGTATGTAATCAGTAGATGACTTGGTTTCTAGTTCTGATGCATATAAATATGATATACCCAGCAGGATCAAACTATTATTGCGGTAAAAGCCCCACATGCAAGTTCAGTTAAAGTTCCTGATCCTTGTGAGGTACATCCACACGTGCCTAAGCTAGTGACAGTACCAAAAGTACCAGATAGTTTGGAACGTGTGTTCAATTTTTTAAAAACATTGGATAATTGTACCTTAGGCCAACATGCGTATCAAAGGAAAAAGTTAATCTATAACCCCTTTATTGATGAATACATATGTTTGAAGATTACAGACTAGTCAAATTATGCGTAAGACAAAACATCAAGAAGAAGCCAAGCAACAGTTGATTTTTTTATCATTCTTATCATCTTATGAAATTGTCCATAAACTTTTGTGAATGCCAAAGTTTAGTTATAAATGAAAGAATAATATATGTATTTTTCTTTGCAAGAAATTATATATTTGAAAGAAAGTCCTTAAAAAAATAGTTTCAAAAACACCCCACATACCTGTACCTTATATTTTCTGATAATGTTGTCTAGTTGGTATTTTTTAGAAGTGAAATCATATCATATATTCATATTACTCATATGTTTCAATCTGATAAGTATCTTCACGTCTGTTCTAAAGCAGGATGGCGTTGTTTTCCCTGAGAAGCATTACAGGCTTATTGTTCGAAGCACAACCGGACCGATAGACTTGTACCTTTTGAGGTATTCACTTACTATAACAAACATGAAAGTCTAGCTGATATGCTTATAATATCATCCACTCTCTTATCTCAATTGTAGTGAGATTTGGAGCTTAGGATCATTCCTAAGGGCCTATTTGGATGAGGGGTTGAGGGGTTAGTGCCTAAATCTTGATATAATTGTATTTGAGATTTTATTTTAAAAAAATGAATTATTAACATAATATGGATAACAGATTGGTTCCATTTCCAGTTCAATCACCTTTTTATTTGTTATTAGAAGCACCCTCCATCCGAACAGTCCCTCAGAAAACACAATAAATCCACCAACAAACTACTAAATACTTCATCTTTTTGATGCGCCATGCAGCAAAAAAGACGGGCAACATGAAGATGTGACTGTGAAACATGCAGTATCCTCAGGTGGGGATAATTGTAGCAGACAAAACATTGACACCAGATCATCTTTGGTTTCTTCAGATACTTCAACCTTAAATACCACGAACCCGTGCCAGATTCACAAAATAGTTCCATCTCGTGCCAGTGTAAGTACATGATGCAACATATTCCCTCTATTCTTAACTACGTAATTCTCAGACACTTTTGCCCTGAACATGCCCTTATGGATTTCAAGATATTAGAAGTAACAATAAACAATGCAATAAATACGAGGGCAACTCAGTCACTCTAGTAAATTTTGATTTATTAAAAACATCCTCTATACTTCCTAGTATGGATAAGGACTGCAGAGTGCAAATATATGCCCCCCCCTAGACCCTACTCTTGTGAGATTTTACTAGGTTTGTTGTTGTTTTTGAAGTAGTTGTAACGAGAACTTGGGATTTCGTTAAATCTGCAGTTTGATGACGACTACTGGTTGCACTCGGATCAGGAAGTGAGTGCGACGGGTCTATGGGGCAGTGAAGAATCTTGAGGTTTGTTTGGATAAAGATCATAAGAGTAACAAGAGGGAGTGAGTGTATCAGACCTGTACATACTCTATTTTAATATACCTTTCTTTTTCCTGTTTTTTTTTTCCTCTTAACAGTTGAAGATTTGGTCGGAAAAAAGATACCNGGGTCTTCTTAAGATTTTGTGCCTTGCTGCAATTCTTTAGTATTGAACAAATACAATGTAGTAATAAATTCACAATTTTTTTATGAAACAAATACTACTTGTATTAGTTTACTGTGGCTATGTTATCAAATGTGGAAATAAACTCATGTCATTTGACCCATATGAATCTATTACCACATTTGGTTTTGCTCGTTTGAGTTCTTTTTGTTATTTTTTCTTGAAAACTCTAGCAGAAAAGTTGCCTTTGCTTTTTTTTTCTTCTTTTTGGATCATGTAACCGGTAGCCCTAGAGATACATGTTTTAGTATTTTATAGACATTTTGCACACAAACAATTCATGAAATTCAGTCTAAAAGAAATCTTTAGCATGAATGATTGAAATTAAAAAAAAAAACTTGATTTCGAGCATCTAAAGATAATATCACATATTTGGCCATCTTTTACGTGTGTTAAAAACTCATAAAGTTCAATCTAAATGATCTTTAATCTTTACTACGTATTGTTTTATGAAACTTGTGGCAAAGTTTCGTATCTAAAATATGTATGTAATGCTTGCCTCACCATCTAATTCATAATAACTTAATTTGATTTAAATGGGGAAAGTAATTAACATTTAAAAAAAATTACGAATGAGTGTGTGTGTGAGTGGGTCCAAATAACAACTACTCCCTCTCTGAGTGTTTGTCCACTTTCATTTTTGCACACCATCCAATGAACTTCTTTAATCCATTTTATCTTGTAATTTGTATATTAAAAAATTATAAAAATTATATATTAATAATCTATATGTTAAGACGAATCAAACAAGATCACACATGACTATTTTTAGGCTTACACATTGAGAGAATTTGATGAGTCAAAGTGCTTAGATGAACAGTTCCAAAAGTCAAAAGTGGACAAACACTCAGGTACGGACCAAATATTTGTTGTAGGTAATTGCTTTCGCCCAAATTTTGTGCATGGCCGTGATGCCGTTTTTCATTGCTCTCGCCCTAATTTTGTAATTAGGTAATTGCTTTAGGTCTTGTTTAGGAACAACGTTTTCGATTACCGTGAACATTTTAGATAAAATTTTAATGCTGTAGATTAATTCTGAAAAACGCTAATGTTAAAGGCTACCATCGATTTATCTTTTCAAAACGCTAACGCTGAGATCTAATGCGGATGCCAAATGAAGTAGTTAATCAGGTAGATTCCACAGGATTATAAATGTAGTACGGTGATCGGGGTCAACTAGCTTTAATCGTGTTTGACAATGTCACAATGACATTGTGAATGTTGGTGGCATCATTTATGCAATCAATGACGATGGTGAATTCCAGTGTGTGATCGAATGAGAAGAGGAAGATGACATAGAAAAATAAATATTAAGAGTTTTTTTCGAGAGAATTGAAACCTATTTCGACATCGTAATAAATTGTTGAGCAAAATCTCTAACTTTATTTTAGCTTGAAGTAGTCCGACATCTAGACAGTAGACAGTGACTATTATAAAATTATGAGGAATAACTAAAGTACACAAAAATACATTATAAATAAAGAAACGATGAGAGAATGATAATCTTCCTTACATTTCTAAATAAGTTAATGAAAAGAATATTTCTACATAGAAACAATAAAATACATAGTTTAAAATACAATAATTACAATGAAACATTAAAATATGATTTAAAAGTACAGAATAGTTACATAACTAAATATGTTAATGTAAGATATATTTCTTCATAGAAATATTATAAGATACTATAAATATATAGTGGTGAAACGTTAAAATATGATTATAAAGAACAAAAATAGTGTGGGACAATTATTTAGAATATTTACTGCATAAAAAAAGTGTATAAAAAAAATAGAACAAAAAAGCAAAAAATTTTCGTCGACAGCAGGGATCGAACCTGCGCGGGCAAAGCCCAACAGATTTCAAGTCTGTCTCCTTAACCACTCGGACATATCGACAACTGTGCTAACCCTTGGAATACAATTTATATTTCCACTACTTTGCAAATGAACCAATGTAAAACTCAAATACGTCAAAACCCCTCTGTGTAAAGAATGGAGTGAAATTTTCAACAAGACGTCTACTTCAAGCAAAATTTTCATCGTCTTCGCAAGTACTGTCGGTGCTCTGTTTCATTTCCCCAAAAACTTCATTTTTACCATTTCAGCCTCCACCACACTCCACTCTGTTCCCTCTCCTCTCACCGACATTCCATTCCAATTTCTATCCCCACACTCATCAAATCGAACTCTGATTCATGAGCCACTGACCCATTGGGGGCTCTCATACTTCTGGCGTTTTTTCATAGATTCATCTAAGAACTCTGATAAAGATTGGATTTTTGTTGTTGTTGTCAAGTCTTCTTCCTCAGAGTTGTTGCAGATCTGAATCTTTCCGGTAAGCTCTCTGTTTGGCTTGTGGAGAAATGGGTGGGGGAGAAAAGTCCAAGTCCAAAGGTGGTTGGTGTGGGTGGCTGCTGGTTCTGGTGGTTGCGGCGGCCGTCGTGGCTGCCATTGTAGTGCTCGTGAAGAAAAAACACGGAGGCGGCTCCGATGTCCCCCCTGTTCCGGGCCCACCCGGCGCCGTCACCCAGAAATACGGCGATGCCCTCAAGATCGCAATGCAGTTCTTCGATGTCCAGAAGTGTAATAAATCTTTCCCCTTTCTTCTCTTTGTTTCTTTATTTGATTTTAAGCAATGGAATGGTTTCTTTATTAATCTTTCAATACTCAGATAGTACATATACTAAGGCCTTTGAACTTTGAAGCATTCCCTTCATCCAAACTGGCCATTAAGTGTGTTTCTTTATTTGTCTTAAGGAACTATTACTTCATAATTAATTGATGAGTTTAAATTTAACTCCATATTAGGCATTGTTTGGAAAAAATGTTTTCAATTAGCATTAGCATTTTGGATAATGATTTTTTAATAGTGCAAATTAACTTTGAAAACCCCTAAAGTAAGTGTTGTCATTACATAGTCTTTTTAAGTGAAATGTTGAAGTTGTTGTCAAACGAGCACACACATTATCTAATTTTTGGAAAGCGTTTCTCTACTTCCAAGTAGAGATAAGGCCTTGATAGTGTTGTTCTTCATCAAATTAATATGGATTGATTTGTGTAGTTTATGATGTGGTGGAGTTAATCTTGGGGATAAGCACTGAAAGAGATTGATGAAGCTTCTATAAATTCAATTTTTTCCTTGTATAGACTACACTTCTTGATTAGTTTGCAAATGTATTTTCCTTTGGTCCTCTTCACTAACACTATGTTTGGTTTAAGGAATTTGAGAGGGAATGAAAAAGAAAATGAGAAACATTTTTCTTGTTTGCTTAGAGAAAAAAGAAAATGAAAAGGCAAAATGTACCAAGAGGAGGAAAAACCAAATTCCTTCCATTTTGGTGAGGGAAAACTGTTTTCTTTTCCCTTAAAATTCCTTGAACCAAACATAGTGTAAATGTTTGTGAGGAATGTGGGAAAGAATATAAGGAGAAAAGTGTAAGGGGAAAGATGATCCAATTAAAATGTGGTGCAGCTGGGAAGTTGGAAGACAACACAATAGCATGGAGAGGGGATTCGGCGATGGAAGATGGCAGTTCAGCAAACCTGGATTTGAGCAAAGGGATGTACGACGCTGGGGACCTTATGAAGTTCGGATTCCCAATGGCCTATACAGCAACCGTGTTGGCATGGACAATCCTCGAGTATGGTGATCAAATGGAAGTTGTTGGCCAGTTAAAACCAGCTAAAGATTCACTCAAATGGATAACTGATTACCTTGTCAATGCCCACCCTTCTCCCAATGTTCTTTACATTCAGGTTCATATCTGATATCTCCCTTTTTTCTTAAACTCTGTGAAAAAGCAAACAAGAAGTTTAATTTCTTTAGGATGGTGGGGGTAAATTTGACATTTCCTTCATTGTTCCAACACTGATTTGGCAGGTGGGTGATCCTGATATAGACCATAAGTGCTGGCAAAGACCTGAAGACATGACAGAGAAAAGGCCTCTCATACAAATCAACACTTCTGTACCCGGCACAGAAGTTGCAGCTGAAACTGCCGCAGCCATGGCAGCAGCTTCCCTTGTCTTCAAACCTCCATACTCCAGCACCCTTTTAAGGCATGCCAAACAGCTCTTTACTTTTGCGGACAAACACCGAGGGTCTTACAGCGAAAACATCCCCAAAGTTGCCACTTATTACAACTCTACCGGGTACGGAGACGAGCTCTTGTGGGCCGCCACGTGGCTCTATCATGCGACGGGAGATCAGTCGTACCATGATTATGTGACTGGTGAAAACGGCGACGAGTTTGCTAGCTGGGGGAATCCTACCTGGTTTAGCTGGGACAACAAACTGGCTGGAGTGCAGGCATGTTTCCCGAATTCTCTTTAGAGAGAACTTTCTAAATAGGAGTAAAACATAACGAAAATACCAAAATATGATTTCTTTTTTTGTTTGCTGGAGTTCGAATCGTACTGTCACTCAATTTAAACAAGACTTATGACTTCATGATCTTGTGGAGGATAACGGTAAGTAACGTTGGGAGTTTTAACCATTGCAGGTTTTGTTGTCAAGGGTAAGTTTCTTTAGGCCAAAGGGGTTATCAAACTCACAAGTTCTCCTCAAGTATAGGAGCACTGCAGAAGCTGTTATGTGTGGGCTCTTACCAAAATCTCCCACAGCCACCTCCAGCCGAACTGACTGTAACAATCTTTCTCTGTCTATGTATATATTATATTATTATGCCTTTTGGAATATAAAACCTCTTTTGGACCTACAACTGCAAGTTTGGGCTTTTAGTTAAGTTGGTTCTTTGACATACATTATATCACGTGAAGGGCGCCGTAGAATATAAAACCTTCACATGAAGGGCGTTTTAGAATATAAAACCTTTTCTGGGGGTTAAACGACAAAGATTGAGCTTTTGGTTGAGTTGGTTTCTCGATAATGCCCTTATTGCCCCTCTGAGCTTGATTTTAGCTGCATAACCACTTTGGCTTGGTTTTGCAGCTGGTTTGGTATGGGTAAGCCAATGGAACTCTTTGCAGCATCCCGTGGCTTCGGCCTTCTTAGCCGTTGTCTATAGTGACTACATGCTCACGTCTCGCACCCCCAAGATAACATGCGACGGGCAGTCTTATACGCCGTCCGATCTAAGGAAGTTTGCCATTTCACAGGTACATCCTTTTCACTTCTATTTTGGAGCATTTTTTAAAGGAAAAAAAATGCCCAAGAGAATGATTGGGCAGAATTCTTAAATTTTTGAAAAAAATTCAGGCCAATCTTCCTAGAAATTGGAGATTTTGGATTAATAATTTATAACCAACACTCAAAAATTCAATATTTTTTAAAAATAACACTCCAAGATTACATATTGATCACAAATATGGTTCTCAAAAAACACGCATTTAATGCGTGTAGGCTGACTATGTGCTGGGCAATAATCCGATGAAGATGAGCTATCTGGTCGGGTATGGCGACAACTACCCGAAATTTGTTCACCATAGAGGGGCCTCGATACCCGCGGGCGAAGCGACCGGGTGCAAGGACGGGTTCAAGTGGCTCACATCGACCGCTCCCAACCCGAATGTTGCGACCGGAGGCCTCGTCGGAGGACCGTTTCTAAACGAGACGTATGTGGATTCAAGGAACAACTCGATGCAAGCGGAGCCCACCACGTACAACAGCGCGATCATCGTGGGCCTCCTCTCCGGTCTGGTCACCACCTCCTCGGTCGCCCGCTCTTTTACATGAGCCGGATACCCTCAAATTCAAATCCAAATCACTTGCACATTTTGTTTATTTGTATGTACATACACAAAGAATCATGTTGTGGAACACATGAGTGAGTTATGCATTGGTTGAACATATCATTTCATGTTTGCAAAATGTAAGGCTTTTCAAGATTAGTGGGAACACTAGTGAGAAATGATCTTTGTCAACGGGCGATTTCGGATTTGGTTGTGGCGTAGCCCAATTGTTGTTCCATCTCCCAGCTTAACTTCGGGGCATCTTCGACGTGTATAGGAACATAATCCTACAAAAACATGCCATGCAAAATTGTTTGTCTTGTCTGAGACGATAATGCCGGCCACGACGTCGTTTTTGTTTGAGGGACATGTGAGAGACAAAAGATGGATGAAGTGTGAGTACCTCGAGTTTGGAGATGAGTTCTTGGGCAGTTGGGGCAGAAACAAGAATGTGACGGGCAGATGGGGAGATGAAGCCCTCAGTAACAGCTTTGTCTATGAAACTCAAGAGTGAGTTGTAGTACCCATCTACATTCAGCAGGCCCACCGGTTTGTCGTGAATGCCTAACTGGGCCCAAGTTATGACCTCTAAAAGTTCCTCTAGAGTTCCATATCCACCTGCGTGAGCCCATATATTTACTATAAACTCACCTTCTAATTCAACATTTAATTATAGTATTTTGAAAGAAGCTACTGGACCCGCTTGGCATCAGCGTCAGAGATTAGCGTTAGCGTTTTGAAAAAGTTATCCGACGGTAGCCTTTAACGTTAGCGTTCTCAGAATTAATCTGTAGCATTAAAATTTTATCCAAAACGCTAACGCTAATCGAAAACGCTGTTACCAATCAAAGCCACTATCTATTAGTATAGTAATAATGTTTAATTTAAGTATTTTCAAAATTAACCAATATTATTATTAAAAAAAATATTCAAAGCAGAATGTGTTTCTGGCATTTACCTGGTAAAGCTATGAATGCATCCGCTTGTCTGGACATTTCTGCCTTCCTCTGGTGCATACCCGTCACTGCTCTCACTTCTCCCACCGTCTCTCCAGTGATCTGTTCACAAATATTATATCTTTGACATGACTTAATTGAAGGGGTGGGGTGGGGGGGGGGAGTCGGACTAGGGTGGAGCAGAGGGAGATTAGTCAGAATATGAAATGTCAATTTTACGAACAAGACACCGTAGAACTCTAATCGGAACTCATGTCATTCTAATGTCATAGGATGACATGAGGTTCTAATGTAATGACTCATGAGAATCTATGTGATGTTTAATGTTTCTTTTTAAAACTAATTTAGGGCATCCAGATTTATTAGTGTTTATAAGTATAATTGATCTAAATAAACAAGATGAGTTTGAACAAGATTAAATGATACCTCTCTTGGCATCAAAGTTTTAGGAATCACCCTGTGCCACACATAGAAACAAAGGTTAATTAATGGTCAAAGTTTTGAATGGCAATGATTAGAGCTAGGTATACTTACTTTGTTTGACTATATATGCTTTGTCACTTTTTTTTCGTTTCAATAATACTCCGTATTTGTTTTATATCCCATATTTAATCATTTTTATGTATAATCCAAACTCATACTCATCCCTATATTATTGTTATTGTAACTAAAATGATTGACTCAACTATTTGAGCTATATAAATATATCTACATATTCATTTAGAATGAAATAAAAAAAATACACTAATAATGTGGAAAAATTGTGCGGGGATTGAGGCCCGCTACATTCGTTTGATTTGTTAACTTTGGATCTGTTTGAGAATAACGCTTTTTATTAGCATTAGTATTTTGAAAATGCTATATATCTACGGGTAGCCTTTGACATTAACGCTTTCGAAATTAATTATATGCAATGTTGAAATTCTATCCTAAACGTTAACGCTAATAAAAAACGTTATTCTCTAACTTGACCATTTTCTTTAATTTCTTTCCATGAAAACTACTCTAGTGACAAAGAATTATGAAGTTTCATTTATAGAGGCTCTAATAACTATGCTTTTTTTTGCTACTTTTTGTGTATATATATTTTCACTTATCATTTGATATAATAATATATTCATGTCATCTCTTATTTTAAAAATCTATAAATAGTAATCTTTTTTCTTAAATTTTCATTTAAATAAAAAATTTGAAAACTTATCAGTAAAAAAGGAAAAAGAAGTAACATACCCCAAAACGTGTCGTCCTCCCTTATGTACAGCTTGGGAGACAAGTCCCATCAAACCTATACTCCCTCCTCCATAAACCAAGTCTATCTTCCTCTCAACCTGTAAAATTTGTCACATTTTTTCAAATGATAATTAAGCCATTTATTTTATTAATTAATAGATTAAATTTTATTGATTATATATTAATCTCAATGTTTTATTAATTCATTATTTTTTAGTATAAAGTTTCTATATATATATATATATATATATATATATAGTAATAGAGGATACTTTAATAGGATTGACCTTATTTGTTAAATGTTACAGTAATAAAAAAACATTAGCTAACAAGAAAAAGAAAGAAGGAAACCAAACAAATGGAACAATGCCCTGTCTTCTTGTCCAAAAATATACTTCCTCCGTCCCAAAAAGTTTTATACATTTTGACTAAAGTGGAAATTAAAGAAGGGATAATTTTGTGTTGACTTTCCAAAAATAACCTTGATTTGATGTATAAAAGTAGGATGTGATGTGTAGATTATAAGGAAAAAGATATGATGTGATAGGTAGGGTTTGGAGCCTGTTTGGGAATAGCATTAGCTATTAGCGTTAGCGTTTTGAAAAGGCTATCTACGGGCAGCGTTTAGTGTTAGCGTTTTCAGAATGATCTGCACCGTTAAAATTTTATCTAAAACGCTAACGTTAATCTCTAACGCTATTCCCAAACAGGCCCTTGAAAAAGTAATGGGTAAAAGTGGTTTTTAATAGAAATGGATAGGAGATTGTGGAACACAATTTTTTTGAAAGGTATAAATTTTTTGGGACGGAGGGAGTATATAGTATCACGTTATCAAATTACACACTTCTATTTTGTCCAAAAATATATATACAAAACAAAAGAAGAGAAGAAGCAGAAGTTTGAAATTGGAAGTAAATAAAAAGAATATATGTATACCAATAGATTGGCCAGCTGAAGAGCTGCAAGCTGGTAACTTGGGTTCTTCCCATGGCTGCTTCCACAGAAAACACATATTCTCTTGAATCTTGATGATGATGATGATGATGATGATGATGCCTTTATGGGCTCATGATGAGAAGAAGGGCGTGTTTGGGATTGCAAATCTTGGCTGTTTTCCATTATTCTAGCTTGGATTTCTTTTTTAAAAATAAATGAAAGCCAATAATATAATTCTGCAATCTTTTCTTCAATTGATGCTAGCTAGTACAATTCATGAATTAGCTTACTAGTGATATGAGCTAAATAGGTAGAGAGGGTGGCTGAAGTTTTGAACCATTAGCCCCTTATATATATACTATGTGTGACACTACATATGCTTAATATATACAAATGTGCAAACAATGATTATTGTATTTCTCTCACACTATATATTTTATTGATATATAACAGCGTTTATTTAAACGATGTAAGAATATTTACAAAGTTAATCTACATTTACACAAAAATCGAATTTTTCAAGGTCACTGATAGTTGTGTTTGTGTTCCAGAAAAATAAATATCTGTAAATGGTTTTAAAATACATGATGTCAAATTTTAATTTGATGTCAAACTTTGTTTGAGTATAACATGATCTTCTATTGATAAAGTTATTTATTTGAACAATTTATGAATATTTTACAAAGCGAATATACAATTTTAAAAAACTTGATTTTCTCAATCATAATTAATATTTGTACGAAAAAAAATTGATGATGCATATCAACCTTAGCTTATTGTCAAACTTAAGATTATTTAAACATCACTATAAAAAAAATCCAAAATACTACTCCCTATTATTCGATCATTAGTTTCCTCCTCTGCACATTTTTGTCAAAGCACATGAAATAATCTGTACAATAATAATACGGAGTAATTATTTAAAAAAAAAAAGTACTCTGATCTGATCAATTGTTGACTGGGTTGAACGTTAATGAAGATTATTGTTGCCTTTGTCGTCATGATAGTTGCTTAACTTTTATCCGTTTGGTGAGCTTCTTTTTAGGATTTGTCCCCTATTCCTTAGCTACCTACATCGTCCCCCCCACATTGTCTCCCACTATTCCACTAATTTCCTAATACTCCACCGTCCCAAAATATATCTCACATTTGATTTTTTAACAGTCGCAAGAAAGTTTTCAGCAGTCGCAAGAACGTTTGTTTATTTCTACGTTTTCATTAATTATTTGATAAAATAAAATATTTTTGACACCTCTTATTTCGAAAAACTTTTCATTTAATTTTTTATGTGTAAATTTTATTTTTTATTTCTATACCAATATGTAAATAAAATGAATTAAAAAACTTAATATTTTACCTTGGTAATAGAAATGTGAGATATATTTAGGGACGGAGAGAGTATGTTTTAAAATCCTGCAATGTTATTTTCTTTTATGTTACGGAAAAATATTGTGAAGTATTCGTATACAGTATTATATTATCAAAGTGCAAAATTTTATTTTGAAGATAAAAACATAGAATTTACGGAGTATATGTTAATACTTTTTCTATGTTTAACACTTATTTAGAGTAGTTTTTTTAAAAGAAGAATCACATATATTGTTATTGACAATAAAGAATTAAGTATGAAAAACTCTCTTTAATAAATGACCAATTATAAAAATTAATCCCAAAAAAAACAAAATGAACAAGGGTGAAGTAATTGGGCTAAAGCTCTAAGGAAGGAACGAGGGAAGGTTCCATTTGGGTGTGTGTGGTCGCAACGTGGGGGTGGTGCGGTGCCAATGATAAGATAGCCCGGACCGTCAAAGTGGCGGGCGCATAGGCGGGGGGGGCCCAGACCATTCTCAGCCGTAGATTTCGCACTATTAAAGCCAGACCAACGGCCCGCGAGTGTACCCTACCAGAGGAACGGCACTTTGACGGCAAAACGCCGCGTGTTGCTACATGTGGTGGTGGTCCCGTAACCAGCCGCTCGACATATGTTGTTCCTATCCGCCCCTCCAAAAATTCCCACATACCACGAATTATTTTATGGTATCTTTTCAAACACATAATCCCTCCCTCCCTAAATATTCACAACATTTGTTTTTTCGGCAGTCGCGTGAACTTTTGTTTATTTTGGCGTTTTCATTGGTTATTTGATAAAATAAAATATTCTTGACACCTCTTATTTCGAAGAACTTTTCATGTAGTTTTTTTATATGTAAATTTTATTTTTTATTTCTATACCAATATGTAAATAAAATGATTTGAAAAAATTGATATTTTGCCTCGGGAATACAAATGTGGCAAATAATTTGGGACGGAGGGAGTATTTGGATTTCAAATTCAGTTTTGACTCAATTTTATATTGGGTAAACTTAAAAAATTTGAATTTAGATTTTGGGTCAAATTTGTCGCATTCATATTAAAGCTTAATTTGAAATCCATGTACATCCCTTCGTCATTTGAAATTCAAGATTTCAAATTTTGGAATTGAAATGAAATGCTAGTTGCCACAAACACTACCTTAAGTTACTTGTTTATTACGGAGTATTTATATAGTCAAATTTTAATCATGTTTTTAAGTTATTTTTGTCACCCTTTTGTGGAAAATTACATAGTCTTGTAACATTTTATTTTGTAGAGTTTTTTTTATGTAATTTTAATATATATAAATTTTATTATTTGATTCATTACCAATTTTCGAATAAATTAAAAAATATGTGAGAATGTCAATGTGGACTTTACGTTAACCATAGAACCACTCTTAAAAATTATTTTTTCATTGCGCATTATGTTATTTCAATGAAATTATTTTTAAATCATTTTATACGAAAAAATGATTGAATCTGTGGTCTATATCACCTATGAAAAACTTTTTAGAAATTTTTTACATATTTATTACGATATCATTAATTGAATGACTTCTTAAAACTTTAATTGTTCTAATATTTTCCAAATTCTTCCTTATTTTTTTCTAACTCTTTCAAGAAAAATTCTAACTTCTCCCATTATATTTCAACATCCAATTATGAAATTTTAATACAAAAGAACATGACCCCAGTCTCTAATAATGATGTTAAATTGAGTTTATGGATGTAATTTGAGATATTGAGAGATTAACTACTAGGATTAAGCTCTACAATCGCTTTCCAAGAGGCCCCATCCAATTCTTATCTGGTCGACTAAATGTTTAGCCATTTAAGCTCAATCTGAAACCTTTTGTTGGTGGGCAGCTTTGTAATATTTAGTTCAAATCGCACTTTGCTTCCTTTCAATTCGTTCAATACTTTTCCTTCCCAAACTAATTGGCACTAACCGATCTGGTATTTCATTGATGCAAGTGAATATAAACATTCACCGGTGATACAAACGAGGATGCGGTGATACAAACGAAGAGACTAACAATAAATAATATACAAAATATTTACATAGGCTAACACTCCCCCTCAAGTTGGAGCATGAATATCAAAAATGCCCAACTTGGATAAGAGAGACTGAAACAGAGGACCAGGTAAAGCTTTTGTGAAGATATCAGCTGTCTGAAGACGTGTTGGCACATAAGCTGTGACAACGTGATTACGCTGAATACATTCACGCACGATGTGACAGTCAATATCAATGTGTTTTGATCGTTCATGAAAGACCGGATTAGTAGCAATGAACAAGGCAGATTTGTTATCACAGTATAGTTTCGGAGTTGCATAACACGGTACATCCAAAGCAGCAAGAAGCCCACGTAGCCAGCGAATCTCTGTACATGCGTTTGCCATTGCTCTATATTCAGCTTCAGCCGAAGATCGCGAAACTGTATTTTGCTTTTTAGTACGCCAAGAGATTGGAGAGCCGCCAAGCATGATGAAATAACCAGTCACAGATCGTCGTGTCAACGGACAACTTGCCCAATCAGAATATGAGAAAGCAGTAAGAGTAAGATCACCATCGCGACGTAACAAAATTCCCTGACCGGGGTGACCCTTTAGATAGCGAAGTACACGCAAGGCAGCATTCCAGTGATCTAAACGAGGTGCCTGCATAAACTGTGACAAGACATGTACTGCATAACAGATATCATAGTGAGATATAATAGTCGTCCCACAAGACGTCGATATTTGGTAGAGTCACGTAGCTCAGCACTTGTAGAACGAGACAAGTTGTGGTTGCTAGGCAGAGGGGTGTCAACAGGCTTACAACCAGACAAATTAGCCTCTTGAAGAATATCGAGAGCATACTTCCGCTGATTTAACACCATCCCTGGGAACGGGCACACTCGATACCAAGAAAGTAAGAGACAGGACCAAGATCCTTGAGATTAAAACATTCATCCAAATATTTCTTGAAAGCAGTGCATAGAGAAGAATTATTTCCTGCAACAAGAATGTCATCAACGTAAACAAGAACAACCAGCATATCAGGACCACTACGATAAACAAAAAGAGTATGATCAGCATGGGCTTGACGGAAGCCATAACGCCGTAACGCCAAACGAAGCTTAGCAAACCAATTGCGGGGGGATTGCCGAAGGCCATAGAGGGACTTACGAAGGCGGCATACTTTCCCTGGGTAAAGATGAGTATAACCTGGAGGAATCTTCATATAAATTTCATCGGTAAGTTCCCCATGCAAGAAGGCATTATTAACATCCAATTGATCAACCTGCCAACCCCTAGCAACGGCAACAGACAATAGAACACGAACAGTGGCTAATTTGGCTACTGGGGCAAAAGTATCAGTAAAGTCAACACCGAACTCTTGATGATTACCCAACACAACTAGCCGAGCTTTGTCTCGTTCCTTGGTACCATCAGATTTATATTTGGTCCTGTACACCCACTGACACCCTAGAGCCCTCCGATTCGGTGGAAGATCTGTAATGTCCCAAGTATGATTACGCTCCAAGGCGTTGAACTCCAGAGCCATGGCATCACGCCAAGAAGCATACTGAACGGCCTCACGAAAAGTACGAGGCACTGGAGAAGCATCAATAGCACCAAGAAACCCGTTGTACCTGTCATGTAACTTATTATAATGAACAAAGTTAGTAATTGGAAACCGAGTACCAGATGAAGATGAACTAGATGATGAGGAAGACGAAGTGAGTGTCTTTGCGGAATGAAGAACATAATCGTTGAGATGAGACGGAAGGCGGCGGTTACGAGGAGGCAACGACTGGATAGTGGGTGGCGGAGAAGTGGCTTGTACCGAAGGGGCGCTACTGCTATTGTTGTCTGGGGAGACGGAGGACGAGGGAGATGGAGGTGGTGATGGGGTAGGACTCGAGACTGGGGAAGAACTAGATACGACTGTTTATTGTGGGGATGATGGTACTGTGGACTCGG